ACACACACACACACACACACACACACACACACACACACACACACACACACACACATACCCCCCACACATATATACACAGAGAGAGAGAGAGAGATAAATAAAATTTCGAGACACATTATTTCCTTGCATATGTGGGTCTTTGCGTGCGTGTGTGTACGGCCATGCGTGTTTGCGTGCTTGCGTGCTTGCGTGCTTGCGTGCGTTCGTGCGTGCGCGGGTGCAAGCGTGTTTGCGTACGTACGTGCCTTCGTGCGTGCGCTCGTGTGTGCGTGCGTGTATGCGTGTTTGCGTGATCGCGTGCGTGCATGCGCGCGTGTATGTGCGTGCGTGCATGCGCGCGTGTGTGTGCGTGCGTGTATACGTGTTTGCGTGCTCGCGTGCGTGCACGCGCGCAAGTGTGTGTGCGTGCGTGCAATCGTGCGTGCGCTCGTGTGTGCGTACTTTCCGAGTCGCTAACAATGGCGTCCTCGTTGTCCGGGTCGGTGAGATAGGCTCGCAGAAACTCAGCGAACGCGCCGTTGTTGTTCAATAGTTCCCTGTATGTTCCGACCTCCGAGATGCGTCCTCCACTGAGGACGAGAATCTGGTCGAATTGCGGCAGGAACGAGATGCTGTTCGTAGTCAACACTCTCGTCTGTTCATGGAAGAGAGACATGGCTGTGAGAGACTTGTGCGTGCGGAGAGAGCGAGCGAGTGTGTGTGTGTGTGTTTGTTTGTTTGCTTGTTTGTTTGTTTGTTTGTTTGTTTGTTTGTTTGTGTGTGTTTTTGTGTGTGTTTGAGTTGGTGTGTGTGTGTGTGTGTGTGTGTGTGTGTGTCTGCCCCAAGATGTGTGTGTTGTTTGTGTGTGTTAGTGTGCGGCTGGTTCGAGCGCGTGTGTGCGATGTGAGGGGTGTGTGTTTGCGTGTCGTGTATGCAGTGGCGGGGTGATTGTGCGCGTGTGTGCGTTGAGGTGTGTGCGTGTGGACCCGGGATGTGTGTTTGTGTGGCGTGCGTTGAGGTGTGATGCGTGGCTGAGGGTGATTGTGCGCGTTGCTGTGCGTTCGCTCGGCGTGTGTGGCGATGTGAGGTTGTGTGTTTGGTGTGTAACGTTGCGAGCGTGTGTGCGTGCGAAGGGTGATTCGTGCGGTGCCATGTCGTTCGTGCCGAATGTAGTGCCAGCAGTGTGAGCTTAACGGTTGTGGTGTTTGGTGTACGTACGTTCGAGCGTGTGTGCGCGTGCGAGGGATGATTGTTCGGTGTGTGCGTTCGAGCGTGCGTTGCGTCAGTTGATGCGGTGTGATGTTTGCGGTTGCGTGGCGTTCGAGCGTGGTGTGCGGCTGAGGGTTGAGTGTGCGCGTGTGTGCGTTCGAGCGTGTGTGCGTTCGAGGGTGAGTGTGTGCGTTCGAGCGTGTGTGCGTGCGAGGGTGAGTGTGCGCGTGTGTGCGTTCGAGCGTGTGTGCGTGCGAGGGTGAGTGTGCGCGTGTGTGCGTTCGCGCGTGTGTGGGTGCGAGGGTGAGTGTGCGCGTGTGTGCGTTCGAGCGTGTGTGCGTGCGCGGGTGAGTGTGCGCGTGTGATCTATGTTTAAAAAATCTCTGAAATCTTTGGGAGTCGTCATACCTTGTTCTTCAGCATGCCATGCGGTCCGATGACTTTTTCGAATATGTGTTTGCCGACGTGAGCGTCCACAGCGCTGAGCGGGTCGTCAAATATCACGATTTCCGTGTCGTTATAGACGGCTCTAGCTAGACTTACGCGCTGCTTCTGCCCACCACTCAGATTAATACCCTATAGATAGAGAGAGAGAGCGAGAGGGGGGGTGTAATAGATTCACTATCATCAGAGAGAGCTCTATCGTATGCACGAGGGAACGACAGAGAGAGTGAAAAAGTCAGAAAGAGTGCAAGCGAGATCGAACCAGATAGAGAAAGAGAGCGAGGGAGAGAGAGAGGAGGAGAGACGGAGGGGAAAGAGAGCGAGAGAGAGAGGAGGAGAGCAAGGAGGAAGGAGGGAGGAGGAGAGAGCGCCAGGTGGCGGGTGCTGAGACAGAGGGTGAGGCGATGTATGAAACGCATAGTTCGGAACGCCACCAGAGTTATTATTTTACCGCACTTTCATCCCGCTAACAAAAGTAAATTGTGACCGTAACCGCGCGTCTGCTATTCTTTCCACATCAACGACGCGTGATTATTATTATTATTATTATTATTATTATCATTGTTATTGATATTATTATCGTTATTATCGTCATAATTACTACTATTAATATATAACTTATCACCTTTTCTCCGATCTCGGTTCTGTCGCCATCTGGCAGTATCTCAAAGTCGGGCTTCAGTGCACATGCCTCGATTACTCGATCGTACTTCCTGGCGTCGTATGGCTTGTTGAAGATGATGTTCTGCTTAAGAGTAGCATTCTGTATCCACGCCTGCTGCGCTGCGTAGGCGATCGTTCCCTGTAGCAAGAACCACACACGTCGAGTCTCACCCACACGACTATTCACAGATGAAACTCCGACAACTCTCCCCGGTGGGTGTTCGCGTGTTAGTTAGATGTTAAGTTTGAGATAAGACCAGTTCTATGTCAGTCTAACTGCTGGACTTTAGTGCGTTTTATTATCCAGCACCAGCGACAAATTAGAAAGTTAACTTATAATAAAACCCGTTATAAATATTAGCTAATTTTCTTAGTCTTCCAGGAGCACATTATCAATAAATAATAGATTAAGACTATAGAGTTGCTATCATCGTTAATTGACGACTTTGGCCTGATGGATAACCATCGTCTGTGAAACAGCGCTGGTGCTGCCCTCGTTTGGCGCGTAGTAAAATCAGCAAGTGTTAAGCATGTGCTCGATGATGACTCAGTCACCTTGATGTTGACCTTCCCGATTAGTTTCTCCATCTCCCCCAAGAGGGCGCTGACTAACGACGACTTGCCCGAAGCGACCTTGCCGACGACGGCGACGAGTGACCCCTGCTTGACTTCCAGGTTGATATTGGATAGCGTCGGCTCGCCTTCGACCGCCCAGCCGAACGAACCGTTGTCGGCAATGATCGGACTGCCTGCGAGACACGCAAGACCACGCAAACACACGGTGTCAATATAGTGACAACCAATGATGCTGCTGTCACAGGTGCTGACCTCTGGCATAGACGTCATATGTGCTGACCTCTGACAGTAACGTCATAGGTGCTGACCTCTGACATTGACGTCATAGGTACTAACATCTGAGAGTGACGTCATAGGTGCTGACCTCTGACGGTGACGTCATAGGTACGACCCTATGACACTGTCGTTGTAGGTGCTGAAACATGACGATGACGTCATATGTGTTGACCTCTAACAGTGACATATCATAGGTGCTGACCCGTCACGATGACGACATAGGTATCAACCTCTGACAGTGTCGTTATAGGTGTTGTTGACCTCTGACAGTGATGTCATAGGTGCTGACCTCTGACAGTGACGTCATACGTGCTGACCTCTGACGGTGACGTCATAGGTACTACCCTATTACACTGTCGTTGTAGGGGCTCAAACATGACGATGACGTTATATGTGTTGACCTCTAACAGTGACATCATAGATGCTGACCCGTGACGATGACGACATAGATGTTGAATTATTACAGTGCCGTTATAATTGTTGACCTATGACGGTGACTGCATAGGAAAACCTTGTAGCGTTAAGATAAAATCATGGGAAACACTGCTCACTATTACTAAATAGTACAGTATAGTATAGTATAGTATACATATAGTATAGTATAGTATAGTATAGTATAGTATAGTTTATAGTATCAGTAGAGGTTATAGTATAGTATAGTTATGTATAGTATGATATGTATATATAGTATAGTATGCTATTAGTATAGTATAGCTATAGTTATAGTATAGCTATAGTATGAGATATGGTTATAGTTATAGTATAGTATTAGTATAGTATAGTATTAGTTATGAGTAGTAGCTTATAGTATAGTATAGTTATTAGTTAGTTATAGTTTCGTATAGCTAATAGTATGAGGTATAGGTATAGTATAGTTAGTTAGTAATAGTAGTAGTATAGTATAGTATCAGTATAGTATAGGGAGTAGTCTAGTCTATAGTATAGGATATAGTATAGATAGTATTGATAGTCTATAGTATAGTATAGTATATGTATATAGTATGTATAGTAATAGCTATAAGTTGCTATATGCTATGTATAGGTATAGTATATAGATATAGTATAGTATAGGTATAGGTTATAGTATAGTACTAGGTATGGATATAGTATATAGTATAGTATAGTTTAGTATGTATTGTAGTATAGTATGTATAGATAGATATAGTATAGGGTTATAGTGTATGATATGTTAGATCAGTATAGATATAGTATAGTATAGTATAGTATAGTATAGTATTAGTATAGGTATGTTATAGCTATAGGTATAGTATAAGTATAGTCGTATAATCTAGTAGTTAGTATTATAGTTGTATATATAGTATAAGTATAGTATAGTATGTATGGAGTATAGTATGTTAGTATAGTATAGTTAGTATTGGTATTGAGTATAGTATAGGTATGTTATTAGTATAGAAGTATAGTATAGCTATAGTATAGATATAGCTTATACTATTAGCTATGTATAGTTAGTATAGTATAGTAATGAGTATAGTATTAGTATAGTATAGCTATAGTATCAGTATAGCGTATAGTTATAGTATAGTATAGTATTAGTTATAGTATAGTATAGTATAGTATGTATGGTAAGTATAGTATAGTATAGTATAGGTATAAGTAATAGGTATAGTATTAAGTTAGATATCGTATATAGTATAGTATAGTATGTTATGAGTATGCATTAGTTATAGTATAGTTAATATAGTATTGTATAGGTATAGTTATAGTAAGTTGTTATAGTAGGTAGTATAGTATTATAGTATAGTAGTTAGCTATAGTATAGTTATAGATTATAGTTATAGTTAGTAGTTGAATAGTATAGTATAGATATAGATATTAGTATAGTATAGTATAGTAATAATTATAGTATAGTATAAGTATAGTATAGTTGTTATAGTATAGTTAGTATAGTATAGTGATAAGTATAGTATAGTATGTATAGGATAGTTATAGTATAGTATAGTATAGGCTAGTTATAGTATAGTTATAGTATAGTATAGTATAGTATAGTATAGTATTAGTTATAGTATTTATAGTATAGTATAGTTGTATAGTGTAGTGATAGATAGTATGTAGGTATATAGATATGTATAGTATAGTAGTATAGTTATATAGTATATAGGTATAGTAGTATGTTTATAGTATAGTATAGTATAGTATTTAGCTATAGTTAGTATTAGTTATAGCATAGCGATGTCAGCATAGCATAGCTTAGGATAGCTATAGTATAGTTATGTATGTTTAGTTAGTATAGTATAGTATAGTATATTTATAGTATAGATAGTATCAAGTATAGTATAGTATGGATATAGTATTAGTATAGTCATAGTATGGCTATAGCGTATAGGTGTATGTATAGTATAAATAGTAGGTGTCACATCATGTTACATACGGGCAATCTTCCGTCGTGCTGCTGATCGCTGTCACGGTCTTATTCGTTCGTCATTCATGAGGGTAGTTGCTCAATCGCTGGAGCCGACACCGCTACCTAAAATAAATACATACACACATATATACATATTATATATATATATATATTGTTATAATACATATTTATATATACAAATATTACATATATACGAAAGCACGCACACTATGTAAAACAGCATTTACCGCACCACATCACCCAACACACCACGGCACGCACGCACGACCACTCCGCACGCACGCACGCAAGCACGCACGGCACGAGCACACAACACAACACACACACATCACACCGATACACACAACGACCACACCACACACAACACACACACACCACACACAACAGACGACCACACGCACACGACGATCGTACAGCGCACAACTGCATTGATACAATGGAGGCGCCACGATGAGCGACAGCCGATGGGAGCAGATACCCATCGGTCTATTCGCAATGATGTTAAACAGCCGGATAGAGAGACGGAAGCCTTTCTGCTGTGAGAAATGCGAGGGTCCGACAGCACGCGTAAGCCTAGGAAAGACATGAGCGCCACGCTGCGAGCAGAGTGCCGCAACCACGAGTGATGCAGACGATAATCACGTTATGACAATAATATATGATCTTTGATACATAATATAATAATAATAATAATAATTGTGAATTGCGCCTAGTGGTGGTTGGATCTTGGCTCTATAAAGAATTGCACGTTTTGGAGAATGACCTCATTAGGAACTTCCCTGGTCACCACACCTGCCAAGAAGGTGCAGAAAATCGCGGCTACTGCGAAACAGCAAACATCCTGCGAAAAATTCTTGGATGAATCCCTATGTCCAGGTTGGACACGTCAACCGAGCAACGCGGCTAAATGCGCGTGATCACTCGGATCATAATATAATAATGACACTGATAATAATGATAATAACAATCACGGTAATGATAGTTGCAACAATGTTTACTGAACGCAGAAAGACGCAAAGACGGCGAAATCGTGCAAATCGTGGCAAATAAACTCCCACATTGCCTGAGACCACCTCTCCTCCTTGCCTAACACTGCACGCTCCATCGGCTAAAGACTACCTCTCCTTTTACGGAACCCTGCACTGTATATCTTCATTCCAATGCTATTCCTCATCGTTATTCAGGTTCACCTTCTTTCATTTCACAATATGAAGGAATTCCTTGCGCCAAACATACATGTGTAGGTCACTGCTCACCTACCAGGGGCATATTTGTGTTGAGTAAGCTTGGCCTGGCGGGCGGATGTGGTGTGGCGCAGGCCTATCTTAGTCTCTAGTTAAGGCCTTTTTGGCATTGTGTTAGAGCTGCACAATAATTTGCATTGATGCGTGTTGTGAGATGCCTCTTGTGTGTATGGTCAGATTGTGTTGTTCATTAGAAGTTAAAATCTCGTATCATGTCGTGGTAGTTGTGACAGTTCGTCACGTGGCGTTAGCCATGTTGTTTACGGTTGGCAATTTTGTGGTATTAAATTTAGATCCGACTTACTTTGAGAGTATTCGTCGATCATTAGCAGCTGGGCAAAAGTTTCAAGCGGAGATAGACTGTTTAGTGTATGTTGGTGTATGCGACGAAAACCACTGAGTATTTTAATTCATGTTCTGTTCGATTTTATCAGGTGCCTTATTCCTTATGAACGCCTTTAATGTTGTACAGCATGTGTCTACACTGTAACCGGTCGCGCAGGTGGAAGGGCTGCAACGGAGATCTGATGGGCGTCTTTGTATACTCAGCTCCTCTGTACGCTAAGAATCTGAGTCCTGGAGGGCATGCTCCCACGCGTACACTTCCAACACGCTGTGAGACGATTCAACGATTTTTTTTGTACTGTTAATAAATGTAATGAAGGTGTAATGTAACGGTAATAAATGTACATGAAGGATTGTTTAATAGCAGTACTGTTAATAAATAATGTAACAAAGGTGTAATAATGTCAGGTAAAAAATGTATGAAGGATGTAATGTAAGTAATTAAATGTAATGAAATGTAATGTAAGGTAATAAATGTAATGAAGGATGTAATGTAATGTAATAAATGTAATGAAGGATGTAATGTACTGTAATAAATGTAATCAAAGGTGTAATAAATGTAAGGTAATAAATGTAATGAAGGATGTAATGTAAGGTAATAAATGTAATGAAGGATGTAATGTACTGTAATAAATGTAATCAAAGGTGTAATAAATGTGAGGTAATAAATGTAATGAAGGATGTAATGTACTGTAATAAATGTAATGAACGGTGTAATGTACTGTAATAAATGTAATGAAGGGTGTAATGTACTGTAATAAATGTAATGAAGGATGTAATGTACTGTAATAAATGTAATGAACGGTGTAATGTACTGTAATAAATGTAATGAAGGGTGTAATGTACTGTAATAAATGTAATGAAGGGTGTAATGTACTGTAATAAACGTAATGAAGGGNGTAATAAATGTAATGAAGGATGTAATGTAATGTAATAAATTTAATGAAGGGTGTAATGTAATGTAATAAATGTAATGAAGGATGTAATGTACTGTAATAAATGTAATGAAGGATGTAATGTACGGTAATAAATGTAATGAAGGGTGTAATGTAAGGTAATAAATGTAATGAAGGGTGTAATGTACTGTAATAAATGTAATGAAGGATGTAATGTACGGTAATGAATGTAATGAATTGTAATAAATGTAATGAAGGATGTAATGTACTGTAATAAATGTAATGAAGGATGTAATGTACGGTAATAAATGTAATGAAAGGTGTAATGTACTGTAATAAATGTAATGAAGGATGTAATGTACGGTAATGAATGTAATGAAGGGTGTAATGTAATGTAATAAATGTAATGAAGGATGTAATGTACTGTAATAAATGTAATGAAGGATGTAATGTACGGTAATAAATGTAATGAAGGGTGTAATGTAAGGTAATAAATGTAATGAAGGGTGTAATGTAAGGTAATAAATGTAATGAAGGATGTAATGTAATGTAATAAATA